CTGTTACCCATAGCAACACTCTGTTACTCATAGCAACACTCTGTTACCATGTCAACACTGTTACCCATGGCAACACTGTTACCCATGGCAACAGTGTTACCCATGGCAACAGTGTTACCCATGGCAACAGTCTTACCCATGGCAACAGTCTTACCCATGGCAACACTGTTACCCATGGCAACAGTGTTACCCATGGCAACACTGTTACCCATGGCAACAGTGTTACCCATGGCAACACTGTTACCCATGGCAACAGTGTTACCCATGGCAACAGTGTTACCCATGGCAACAGTGTTACCCATGGCAACACTCTGTTACCCATAGCAACACTCTGTTACTCATAGCAACACTCTGTTACCATGTCAACACTGTTACCCATGGCAACACTGTTACCCATGGCAACAGTGTTACCCATGGCAACACTGTTACCCATGGCAACAGTGTTACCCATGGCAACAGTGTTACCCATGGCAACAGTCTTACCCATGGCAACAGTCTTACCCATGGCAACACTGTTACCCATGGCAACAGTGTTACCCATGGCAACACTGTTACCCATGGCAACAGTGTTACCCATGGCAACAGTGTTACCCATGGCAACAGTGTTACCCATGGCAACACTCTGTTACCCATAGCAACACTCTGTTACTCATAGCAACACTCTGTTACCATGTCAACACTGTTACCCATGGCAACACTGTTACCCATGGCAACAGTGTTACCCATGGCAACACTGTTACCCATGGCAACAGTGTTACCCATGGCAACAGTGTTACCCATGGCAACAGTCTTACCCATGGCAACAGTCTTACCCATGGCAACACTGTTACCCATGGCAACAGTGTTACCCATGGCAACACTGTTACCCATGGCAACAGTGTTACCCATGGCAACACTGTTACCCATGGCAACAGTCTTACCCATGGCAACACTGTTACCCATGGCAACAGTGTTACCCATGGCAACACTGTTACCCATGGCAACAGTGTTACCCATGGCAACAGTGTTACCCATGGCAACAGTGTTACCCATGGCAACAGTGTTACCCATGGCAACACTGTTACCCATGGCAACACTGTTACCCATGGCAACACTGTTACCCATGGCAACAGTGTTACCCATGGCAACACTGTTACCCATGGCAACAGTGTTACCCATGGCAACAGTGTTACCCATGGCAACAGTGTTACCCATGGCAACAACCGGGTACAAAAAGAGTCAGATAAATGGGGCCCTCGAGGGTGGGGGGGGGGTTGGGGGGCAGGGAAAGGGGGGGGGGAGTTTAATTGTAAAAAAAATGTTGTGTTGAGAGGAGGAGTGACCAGAATATTTTTGTGTTGCTTGGAATAAGAAGCACTTTATCTGCGCAAGTTGGCAGTGTTTGTTTCCTCTGTCTTTGTTTGTGGGGTAAAGTGTCGATGTGTTTGTTTGTTGGGCAGACTGACGTGTTTGTTTACAGTGGTACAGCTTCTCAATTGAAGAGTAAAGTTTCAATGTTTGTGTTGTTTTTGTATTAAAAAGAGCCTCTTTTTTTATTAGATAATGTAAATCATTCAGTATTAAGAGTAAAGTAACACCCGTTTTTACTTCAAGAAGAAAGTTACTGATGTGTGTAAAGATAAAAGTGATAACACGTTTGTCTGTTTGAGAAAGAGCCATTGTGTTTGCTTGACGGAGAAAGTATCAGTGTGTTTAAATGAAGGAAAAAAATGTCCTTCTAAAGTAGAAAGTGGCAAGGTGTTTTACATAGAAAATGGGAATGTGTTTTAGATAGAAAATGGCACTGTGTTTGTTAGAGAACGTGGCACTATTTAATAAAGGAGTTTGACAGAGAAAGTAGCGCTGTGTGTGGTAGTGAAAGTCGCGTTATGTCTGACGGAGAAAGTGCATGCACTCTGTTTCATCTGAAGTAGAAAGTGATACTTATTGCTTGGAGATGGAAGTGGTGTTAGATGCCTCCCTCTAGTGCCTTTAATCCCCTACTCCAAGGCTGAGTTTATATATATATATATGGGGAGAGAAAGAGAGAGAGAGAGAGAGAGAGAGAGAGAGAGAGAGAGAGAGAGAGAGAGAGAGAGAGAGAGAGAGAGCAAACACATACAAACGTTATCGGATATTTCAAGTAACGTTCCAAGTAACGTTCCCATGGAGAAACGTTCACTCGGGCCCCCTCTAGCAGGCAAAAAAAAACTTCCTGGAGTATGTGAGTGAGTTGCCAAACACCGATCATGTAATAAACATCTACTTTAAATATCTATTTCACCCATCACACTATTGCATATCGTGCATTTAACCCTTGTCTACCCTTCTAGCATGATTGCTAGACCTGTAAACAAACACCTGAAACATAGACTAACCTCAAGAATATTTTAGACGGAAATTAAACCAAAGAAACAGTTGCCAACTCACGCTAAGTTAGCGGAAGTCTGTAGTTTGACTCATCGCTAGGCTCCAGGGCTAATTACTGACCTCCCCCAACATGTCGCCCCCTACACCACCTGCCTGACTCCCGTCTGCATATTTTTCTGCCAGGTGAACACAGGTTTCGGTGCGTGTGTGTGAGTGTGTGAAAGGAAACGGTGCTCATACGTTTCTGTCCTGCTCGGTGGATTAAACCTGACGCGTAGGAAATAGCTGATATACCGCTGGTCCGTTCAATTTCACCGAACGTTCAAGTTTTTGCGACATGCGTTGCATAATAGCGGTTTGCGCTACATAATAACGATATGCGCTACATCATAGCGGTATGCGCTACACCATAGCGATATGAGCTACATCATAGTGATATGCGCTACATCATAGCGATATGCGCTACACCATAGCGATATGAGCTACATAATAGCGATATACGCTACATAATAGCGATATGCGCTACATAATAGCGATATGCGCTAAATAATAGCGATATGCGCTACATCATAGCGATATGCGCTACATCACAGCGATATGCGCCACATAATAGCGATATGCGCTACATAATAGCGATATGCGCTACATCATAGCGATAAGCGCTACATTATAGCGATATGCGCTACATCATAGCGATAAGCGCTACACCAACCGCAGTGTTTACATGCAGCCCTTATGCAAGTGACGTCAGCGTCGGTCATCATACACACTCACATTGGCGCGTGATGTCACGGGGCTCACGTGAGAGTCTGCTCTCATGTGTAATCAGCTGCGTATGTTAGTATGCGCAGTATGAAGGCCCTTACATCAGTTTCAGTAGGAGAGAATGTCTGTTTGTCCGTCTGTATGAGGTTGTGGATCAGACGCTCGGGGCAAGTCTCACTCGACTTTGCGTGGCGAAAGGTGGTTGGGCGTGTCCCTAGATTTATTTACAGTTCTGAAAGAGCGAGAGAGAAGGCCGGGGGGGGGGAGGGGAACGTGAGTGGGGTAGAGGGGGGGGACAGGGAAACAGAGAAGACAAAGAGGGAAGTGGGAATGTGAAAGTTAGGGACATTTTTATATATATATATATATATATATATATATATATATATATATATATATATATATATATATATATGCATATATTATAGACATATATATATATATATATATATATATATATATATATATATATATATATATATATGCATATATTATAGATATTATATATATACATATATATATAGACATATATATATATATGTATATATGCATATATTATAGATATTATATATATATATATATATATATATATATATATATATATATATATATATATATATATATATATATATATTTAATTTAGTAAGTTTTCATATTTACAAGCTAGAACATAATCGAAATGAGGAGATGAGGTTCCGTAGACTGCCATAAACTCAGGCGGTTGCCGGCTGGGATATTTCAACACATTTTGTTCCAAATATGTTGAATTGTTTACAAATTGGCAGTCTGAGTATACTAAATATTAGAACCAAGATGTTGGTAGCCGTGTGTGTGTGTGTGTGTGTGTGTGTGTGTGTGTGTGTGTGTGTGTGTGTGTAAGTTTTTGTGTTTGCAGGATCGAGCAGTTAGCTCTTGGACCCCGCCTCTCTAACCGTCGATAGTATATCTACTACATCTCTCTCTCTTTCTCACACACACACAGACATACACAGGTATAGAGGCACACACACACACATATCTCCATGATGTTCATCTATTGGGTAAACAGAGAGATGAAAGGAAATGCTGCCGGAACGTTTTTGTCCTGCCACGCGGAATATGTATATGTGTGTGTGTGATTTACGGGAAAAATCTCATCTAAGTTTCAAGAAATCAATGATGCATCTCTAGAGGTTCCCACCTTCATTTCCCGCAGTTGGTGACAACAGAAGCATTGCCGGCTCCGCAGGTTGAATACAGGATATATACAAACGTTTTTGTTACTTTATAATCAATGTCCGGAACGCGGGCATTGTTTCAGCTCCACACAATTGATAAAATAAGTGAGTTTCAGAGTCGTGACGGCCGGGTGTTATAACCTCTGCACCATCAGGGTCATCATACCTCACCACCATCAGGGTGCTGATGCCTCTACAGCGTCGGTACCAGGAGTATAAACGTCTCAGACTGGCACGGAGAGAAAGCGCTCAAGGATCACGAGAACCAAATGATTCATCCGACCTTGAATGACGACTTGGCTGCTGTGCGTGTCTCGCTGTGTCTCCCAGCTGCCTTAATGACCTCTCCTATCTCCGAGTCAAGAACGAAAGTGTTGTTCATTATCTCAAACACAACACGGTGCCATTATAAAATAATGACTTAGAACTGAACGGGTTGCTGTTGCGACGTGTCCTCCTTGGGGTACTCCCAGAAACATTTTCTCTCGTCACCTCTGCCTGGGCGGGGTTACCTCTGCCGGAAACACCTCGGCTTGTGGACGAAGGATGTGAAGTAACAAACTACGAACTGCCGCTGTTATGTAAAGCTGGCGGGCCACCGGAGAATCACCGGAAAGTTACCCGGAACTGTGTTGACGTCAAAGGCGGCGGAGCGGTGGTTCCCCGGGGTTCTTACGACTGTCTGGGAGGTGAGAGGTGGGGTGGGTGAGAGTAGGCAGCTCTCTCTCTCTCACACACACACACACTCCCACACTCTAGGAAGAGTCCGTGGGATGACGTCACAAATATTCCATGCTCTTTTCCGGCGGGTTTATATCTCGTCAACGCCTCGGCGTGAAGCTCACTCTTCGCCACCTGCCGGTGACGCCTCCAAGCTGCTCCTGCTGCGGCTGCTCCTCCTCCACCTGCTGCTCACCGCTGCAGGTTCTACAAGCCCTCATTGCTTCCCGACAGTGCACGAAGGCTGTCGGAGCTTCCCGAAAGTGACCACAAACCATTATAGTTTCCAGAAAGTGTCCACAGATAATTACAGATTCCAAAAAGTGCCCGAAGGCCATCGTTGGTTCCCGAGTGAACCCGAAGGCCCTCATAAGTTCCAGAACGCACACAAAAGTGTCTCCCAAGTGCCTTCATATCCCCTATCACTCCCAGAGGCCAACCGTGGCTGAGTGAAGTTGAAATCTCCTCGGGGGGAGGGTAATATGGATCCAGGGTTCGACAACCTCGAGTCGTCTCTCAAGTTCGAAGACTCGCTCTTGGGCCAGTCCGGTACCATCGACACCCTGTGCCACACGTACCTCGCCAACATGGACTCCTTTCCCTCCAGCAGTGCCTCCAGCCCCAGAGGCGACTACGGTGCCGAGGGAGGGTATGGGGCCAGCTACCGGGATGACCTGAAGACATTCACATCTCGAAACGTCAGAGATTGGGACGGAGAGGTGAGAAGATGTGTTGATTTGTTTAATATAACTTCTTATGCTCTACCAGTTTGTCCCCATTGCCTTAGAGACACTAATTAGTGCCTGGGGGTAAAAGTGCTGCTATTTTTTTTTTGAAGGAGCGGGGTTCTAAGATTATTGAAACTTCTTATGCTTATGGTTGATCTAAGACAAACGTGTTCTGTAGTGCAGTTCGTTGACCTCAAGATCACTGTCGATCTCAGAATTAAGTGTCGAATTCAAGACCTGTCTACCCCAAGGACAATCTATCTATCTCAAGAGTCCTGTTAATTTCTCTCACGATCTCCTCAGAGAAATCTGTTTAAAGGTTTGTTTTTACAATTTAATTCAATGTCAATCTGTAAACAGATCGCTGTCTATGCATCTTAATGTGTCTGTCTGAAGGTCTCTCGCTCTGTTTCAAAGTCTTTATCTATTTCAAGTGCTCTGTAATTCTCTTGAATGATCTTTGACTCCAGATCTCACTATTTGTATCTCAAGATCAAGATCTTTCTCAGTCTATTTCAATTTCTCTGACTGTCTCAAAATCTCAATGCTACTATTAAAGCATATCTTTCCTTTTTAAATTATATAAATTTACCTAAGATATCCTGTGTACATTTTTCAAGTTCTCTTGTCATAAACTTGATATATTTTAATGTCTGTGTTTATCTATATCAATCTCTTGTTGACCAGACCACACACTAGAAGGTGAAGGGACGTTTCGGTCCGTCCTGGACCATTCTCAAGTCGATTGTGTATATCAATCTGTGTCTATATAAAATTCCCCATTAATGAGGTGTTTCGCAAGGTGATGGGAGTATGGGGGAGAGGAGGCGGGGAATTTCGGTATTTCCCCATCCAAGGCAACCTGTACTTACGTGATTCCACACACACACACACACACACACACACACACACACACACACACACACACACACACACACACACACACACACACACATTAGGAAGTAATGTGGTGGAGGCTGACTCCCTACACAGTTTCAAGTGTAGATATGATAGAACCCAATAGGCTCAGGAACCTGTACACCTGTTGATTGACGGTTGAGAGGCGGGACCAAAGAGCCAGAGCTCAACCCCCGCAAGCACAACTAGGTGAGTACACAGTCTGTTGCCTCCTCTCTCCCCCCCCCCCCCAATGTTCTCTGCACTCGTAATCACAGTACTTTTTTTTCAAATCTTTTCACTAAGCATGTGCCTTTTCCTCCAGGAGTGCTTGGAGTGGGCAGAAAGCGTGTGCGAGCAGCTCGGGTTAGAGAGAACCAGCCTGGACTTATGGTCCTTCAAGACGACTACAGGGTCTAATCTCCTTCAGCTCTCCCAGGAAAACTTCTCTCAGCTCTTGGGCCCCCGCTTTGGCCAGGTCTTCTATTCCCAGCTCCGTGCTCTCAGCAACAGGAAAGGAACAGGTAAAAAAAACTGCATTCCACAGAGATACATTTCCAGGAATTCCGTTAATAATAATAATCACTTGATTACAGCTACAGTATCTAAAGATATGACTCCAGTTGTAAATATGTAAACAATACATAACATTAGGGGTCGTACAGCTTACCCTGCAAGATGACAAATGTTCTGATGTAGAGGTTCCTAATGTGCCTGGATAGCCCAAAAACGCGAGACTGATCCCACCGTATTGCCTAAAAATTACCTCATAGATCCACCACGTTATTGTGGTTTCACTGTGTATGAACGGAGGTATAAACCGGATCCCTAAGCCTCCAGGCTGCTAATACCCGCCCCTCCCCCCCCCCCCCCCCTGCATGACAGTGTCAAATTACTCATCTAAACGAAGCACGTTTCTGTACTTTATTTGTGTTGTGAGGTTATTGGCCGTATGGAAGTGTAGTGTCATACTTCACCACTACTACATCCACCTGAATTGGTCGATACAGTGACGGATTTGTATCTTGCGGGGTCGACGTTCGATCCCCGACGGTCCTAGTAGATAGGCACCGTTCCTTGCACCCCCGCCCTCATATCCCAGCTCTTTGTCCTCATATCGGAGCTTCTTGTCCTCATATCCCGGCTTCTTGTCCCCATATCCCGGCTCCTTGTCTTCATATTCCAGCTCCTTGTCCTCATATCCCAGCTCCTTGTATTCATATCCCAAATCCTTGTCCTCATATCCCAGCTCCTTGTCCTCATATCCCAGCTCCTTGTCCTCATATCGCAGCTCCTTGTCCTCATAACCCAGCTCCTTGTCCTAATATCCCGGCTCCTTGTCCTCATATCCCAGCTCCTTGTATTCATATCCCAAATCCTTGTCCTCATATTCCAGCTCCTTGTCCTCATATCCCAGCTCCTTGTCCTCATCATCTTCCTTTCCAGTGTTGCATAGTCATGCTGGCTTAGCGTGTTCTAGCCTGATAATCACATCATGTTTACATCTCCTGCAGGAAAGACTAAAAGCAGACACCGTCAGCAGGAAGCCGAGGACCCCTCTTCCTCCTCCTCCATCTTCACCAGCGGTCACGACGTGTCCTCCGTCGTAGGGACTTCCTACGACTACGCCGCCGCGTCCTGCGACCCTACCAGCCCTGCCTACGACCCTGACTCGTGGGAATTAACCAGTGAGGACTTCAAGGAGCTGGACCGCTACATTCCCGACGACTCGTGGGACCCCCTGACGGAAAACCTGGAGGGGCTCGATCTACAGGAACAATTCATGCCCATTAAATACGGTGAGTGGATATCCGGTGCCTTTGAGTTATATCCTGCACTCGTGAAAAGGTATTCTGCACTGGTGAGTATCCTAGACTTGTGAGTACGGCTCAAACCCCTAATGAGTAAAGATCCTACGCTTGTGAGTACGGATCCTGCCCCCCCCCTATGAGGGTTGCATGAGATATACTCGTGAGTCATATAGCCTATTCACGTCATGTGAGTCAGGGAGATGCACAACGGTGGGTATTTCCGGCAGTTTGAATTCATTTCCAATGTCGCGGTCCGTACAGCCTCGTGAACACCTTTATTGAACTCCTTACTTCAAAATCAAAGCTTTTTTTTTTAATACAAAATACATTTGTATTCTTAAATGTTTTTTTTTTGTATTTTATCAATTCCACACGGAAAATATAATCATTAGAATTAGGTTCAGAGATATAAACTCTTGAATTCTAAATCTAAAACAAATTGAAATCTGTCATTAAACAAATTAAATATAGTTATATTTCTAATTTTGTTTGAACCTAACATAGCCTAAAGTGGGCTAACCTAACCCAGCTCAGCCTAGCCTATCATACTCCAGCCCAGCCCAGCCTAGCTTATCGTAATCCAGCGCAGCCTAGCCTAGCTTATCGTAATCCAGCGCAGCCTAGTCTAGCCTATCATAACCTAAACTAACCTTGTATATATCCAACAGAGGAGGAGACATGGGCGGCAGCGGCAATGACGCCGACGGCGACTCCGACGGCGACCCCAGAGACAGACGTATTCCAGAAGATCCCTACCAACACCAGGAGGAGAGGTAAGGATAAGAGGAGATAGAGATGACGAGGATAAGCTGGGATAGGGAGGAGATACCCGTGAATGGAGTGAAGCAAGAAGAACTAGGGGGGACAGGAGATACAGAAACTAACCCCCCTCTAGCATAATACGATCTCCTTAGTAGTCAACAAGTCTAGAGTAGGGGTTGGCAGCGCTACTCGTCTGGAGATCTCAATCATACGAAGAGAGTGTGCACACACACACACTTTCCTACAGAGATAGGTACACAATTTATCTCGGTACGCGGCATCAACTATTATATATAGAAAATGTAGTCTGCATGATTGGCATGAGGGTCAGAAGGAACCATGATTGACATGAGGGTCAGGAGGAGGCATGATTGACATGAGGATCAGGAGGAAGCATGATTGACATGAGGGTCAGGAGGAAGCATGATTGACATGGAGCAAAAGGAGAGTGACAAGTGGAAGCAGAACATTAGACAGTATCAAGTAATCGTCAGTCTCACTGCAGGTCTATCACTGTTAGTGATAGATTGGTTAGACACAACAAGTGTCTCACTATTAGTCTTTTAAAATTCTAAACACACGCAAACCAAAGCCGTAACCCGATCTCTCTCTCTCTCCTTAGCTTGACCCTTAATCACCACCTTCATCTCTCCACAGAGCGGGGACCCAAGAGCTGGGAGTTCCTCCTGCGCCTGCTAGAGGACAGAAGAAGCAACCCGGCGCTCATCCGCTGGGAGGATGAAGCCAACGGCACCTTTAGATTAGTACAACCCAACGTCATCGCGCAGATGTGGGGCGCGCGATCAGAAAAGCCTAACCTCTCGTATTTCAACTTTGCCAGAGGCCTCAGGTGAGTTTCTAATGATTTTGAGTTCTCTCGAGGATTGTATTTGGTGTTTGAGTGTGTCTAATTGATTTAGTTGCTGTATTTTCCCGCATATAATTCGCACCCAAATTGAGGGTAGAAATAGCCTAAGCAAGTCTATCCTTTTTGTCATTATTTTCTTTTCTCAGTAAGCTTAGTTGCAGACGTACCTAAACCAAACCTGTCCAAGGCCTAAATAAGAAATCCTAGGCCTAATATACGCTATATTAGCCCATAACTTTGTACATATATGTACCATATTTGGCCAAGGAAAGCTCAGGTTTTTCGTCTCTACAATATAGTATATAATGGGATCAAAACAGAATCCAAATATCCAAATGACAGTAACTGATACGCTAGATAACAGTAATTTTAAACATCAAAAACACCTACGCGAGCAGGTGTTCACTGTTGGGCCTAGAATGACACAATGTTTATAGAGATTGGCTAGCTCTTGGGCTCGTTTATATATATATATATATATATATATATATATATATATATATATATATATATATATATATATATATATATATATATATATATATATATATATATATATATATATATATATATATATATAGAGCCCAGGAGCTAGACCTGAGTGATATCGTATGGTGAGATACTGTTTAGCTTACTGTATACAAGTCTGAATTGTTAGCATTTTCAGACTCGGTTCGGCAGCAGCAGATTAGTATAAAAGGATTATGAAATAGACGTTCATGCCCTCATAGATAATGGGGGCTAGCATGGTAGTGAAGATTAATAAGATGCGTAAGAAGGGACCACCAAAGTGCTGACAACTATAGTGTAGCCAAACACCAAGATGAGGAAAGGCTGTATTTGTTACTACCGTAATGCCTGTACAAGGCTTCATCAAATGGAAACGATACACACGGCAAGTGCTTATAACTTTACTGACCACCCACAGGTAAACTTTAGTTCTGGACATAGTCTAATATTAAAGCAAACTACCAAGCGTATACACGCGTATACATGGTTTTATCTCTCGGGGTATATACATCATGACTCGCTCGTGACGTCACATGTTTTTTTTTGGTATTGGGCGTAAGGCCTATGAGTCTCTGGCGGATTATAGGCACCACAATAGCCTAGCGACCAAACTTCAGGTATAGCCCTGAACATTATTAACGACTAATCTCTCTGTGTATATACACATAGTAGCGGACTACATCTCTCTGTATACACCGGGTATATTCCTTGCTCGACTACTCATCTGAACATAGTCCAGGACTTAACTCTATATATACACAAAGAAGCGGGTTATCCTCAGTATACGTAGCGACGTGTTTGATTCCTGCTAGTCAGGACGTAGTCCAGGATATGACAGTATATATACACACAGACACCGAGAAGCGGGCTGATCTTTCTAGTGCTTATTCCCCCCCCTTGCTTGACATTTGGTCGCATGATCAAAAGTGATGTAAAAAATTACGCTGCAGCCTCGAGTGTCGTGCGTGACTTGTGCTCACCAACCGTTTCAGAAATACTCGACTCAAACTGCAACTAAATGAATTTGGGGGGGTTCGTGACCCCTGTATGTGCTTCTGCAACCTTTTCCACTCCCACTCACAGGATAGGTGTGAGATTCCCAGTCACTCACAGGATAGGTATGGGGTTCACAATCACTCACAGGACAGGTATGGGGTTCACAATCACTCATAGGATGAGTATGGGGTGCACTACCGCCCGCAGGATTAGTATGTAGTACATAATGAATGAACTAAATACAAAAAATCAATCTCCTTCAGCCGTCTCATTGGTTTCTCTTACTTGCAGGTACCACTACAGCACCGGTGCTCTGTTACCGGTATCAGAGAAGCAACTAGTGTACCGATGTGGACCCAAAGCTATCAAGTACCGAAGAGAGCTCAAGGAGCGAGGCCTCTACTGACTTTTCTCTCTCCTAGCAAGCTCTCGCTCTACAAAAAAAAGCAAGACTGTTTTCTGGTTCTCAAACTTGAGACGTCAAGTAATCAGTCCGTGCCTTCAATTTAGAACTTTTGCTCGGCATCAGAGGCTCGATAGAGGTATATATGCGCCAAGAAGTGTCTATATACCTTGTTCAGGACTAAAGGATTCTCGCTGGTTAGTCAGTAGGTTATTGTGGTGACCGTAATAGCCCTCTAGAGTAGACTCTAGAGGTTAATAGGCATTAAGCCAAACATTAAACCAATCAGAGGACAGAAATATATATTCTGAGTGGTGTACCTTCCTGCTCGGTTGTTATGAGCTTTGAGCTTACTTTAGTTCTGGACTGTTCTTGCTGGATGGTCAGAAAGCATTTGTAGTGGCCTTAATAACCCTTAAGAGGTTAATAACAGGCCTTAATTCCAACACGACACCAATCAGGAGTACCTGATACTCTGCAGCAGCTATAGAACAAACAGGAAATCAGAAGATGCTTACAACTATCGCGATAATTGATATTTCAGTAGTATTAGCATATGGGAAAACCTGGAAGATATCAGAAGCCGATACATACCGCCCGATAATCTATATCAGAATGAAAACCTCGTCGACTTAAAGCATTATCAGAACCAAGATAGATATTTACATTCATTCTCAACCATCAACATAAAAAAAAAGATGATTCCTGGAATGCCTTAAGCAACCAAACCTTCATCACCCTCCCAGTCCAAGCAAATGAGAAGAGATATCCATCCAACCAACAGCCTCGCCTGAGACAACTCTCGGGGAAATCAGTAGCATCATCTTCCACCCATCATGATGGGGTCTCGGAAGATCAGGCGGCGAGTCTGACATTCCTTCTGCCCCTCCCACCACCTCCTCCTCAGGCCAGTAAACACACAGTTCCGAGAAGCCAGACAGACAACTTGGAGCTCACTATCAACTCACACCGGCGCCGTCCGCAGCAAACAACACTCACCAGTGTTTACCTCATATCTTAGTGTTTTTATAACGTGTATTTCTGTTATTGAAAGGGACGATTTACGTAGACGTTACCAAAGACCAGTAGATGTACCTGATGATTGTGAGAGACTAGTGTAGTGCTGTGATTATAGGTGCCATAATATGTATATATATATATATATATATATATATATATATATATATATATATATATATATATATATATATATATATATGATGGCTGTTAGAACCGCATGTCATAGCTTTTTTAGACCTTTTTTTTTGTTTACTAACTGCAGCTATTCGAATGTGTATGTTTGATAACCCCAGCCCCCACCATGTGGCCGGCTGGTGTATGCCTGATACTCCATGTGGCCGGCTGTGTATGCCTGACACTCCACGTGGCCGGCTGTGTATGCCTGATACTCCATGTGGCCGGCTGTGTATGCCTGACACTCCACGTGGCCGGCTGTGTATGCCTGATACTCCACGTGGCCGGCTGTGTATGCCTGACACTCCACGTGGCCGGCTGTGTATGCCTGACACTCCACGTGACCGGCTGTGTATGCCTGATACTCCATGTGGCCGGCTGTGTATGCCTGACACTCCACGTGGCCGGCTGTGTATGCCTGACACTCCACGTGGCCGGTTGTGTATGCCTGACACTCCACGTGGCCGGCTGTGTATGCCTGACACTCCACGTGGCCGGCTGTGTATGCCTGATACTCCACGTGGCCGGCTGTGTATGCCTGACACTCCACGTGGCCGGCTGTGTATGCCTGACACTCCACGTGGCCGGCTGTGTATGCCTGATACTCCACGTGGCCGGCTGTGTATGCCTGACACTCCACGTGGCCGGCTGTGTATGCCTGACACTCCACGTGGCCGGCTGTGTATGCCTGACACTCCACGTGGCCGGCTGTGTATGCCTGATACTCCATGTGGCCGGCTGTGTATGCCTGACACTCCACGTGGCCGGCTGTGTATGCCTGATACTCCACGTGGCCGGTTGTGTATGCCTGACACTCCACGTGGCCGGCTGTGTATGCCTGATACTCCATGTGGCCGGCTGTGTATGCCTGACACTCCACGTGGCCGGCTGTGTATGCCTGATACTCCACGTGGCCGGCTGTGTATGCCTGACACTCCACGTGGCCGGCTGTGTATGCCTGACACTCCACGTGGCCGGCTGTGTATGCCTGACACTCCACGTGGCCGGCTATGTATGCCTGACACTCCACGCGGCCGGCTGTGTATGCCTGATACTTTCTAAGCACAACTGTGTATGTATGAATTCCCCCCGCCCCCCATCCTGCTGGCCAGCTGGGTCATGTGTACAGCTAGACAATTATTCTCAGTGAATGTTGCCAAATGTTTACGTTAGTGCAGTATCTATTCCTCCAGTGTGTGTGTGTGTGTGTGTGTGTGTGTGTGTGTGTGTGTGTGTGTGTGTGTGTGTGTGTGTGTGTGTGTGTGTGTGTGTGTGTGTGTAATTGTGTCTGACGGTGATATCTGGCACCTCACATGATGACGGTAACATTCTGTTAGTTTCAAGAATTTAATTTATATCCTAATTTATTTCTCTAGTATGTTAATTTATTATGCTTATTTATTAACAAAAAAAATTATGCGCTATTTTCTAGTTGTTTTATTATCACGAGCCATTATGTACTTTGCAGCCATGCGCTCGTTCTTGAAAGTGTGTCTGTTAATTTGTAATGTATTAACTTTCAAACGAGTTAATTAATAGATTAATCAACGTTCAAGGCTTCCAATACCTCGCAATCTAGATTATTATTGATCACTGAGGGAGAGGATTAATGTGACAGACTCGCGGGCTTTCTTAAACTTAATAACATTATTAAAATACGTATTAAACTCAATAATATGATCGAAACGCGTATAAAACTCATCTCTTTGACAAACAATGATTGCTGTAAGTGATCCGTATGGTACTCTGCTCGTTACTTCCTATCATTTTCATTTCTCCTTTCACTAGTACTATTTGCAGTTGACACAACGATCTGTGGCAAAATTGGAAGCTCAACGTGAACTCCACAAATGATCAAGAGGACTGGCAAATGCTCTTCAATATACAAGATCGTGCACTTAGGTCATTACAATGCATATCAAAAACACTACATGCAGCAGAATAGTACCCGGGAGTTATGATCCACTTGTCATTATAACCAGCAATAGAGGCAACCTAACTTTTTTGCTATAGTCCAACGAACCTTAATCCTTTAAGAAAAATACTTGAAATTTAGATTTACAAATGTGCTGGGTGCGCCCCAAATGGACTGCTGTATTCAAGCTGGGAGACCTCGGCATAAAATAGACATTCCTGCTTCGGAGACAGGTTAAGATGTCTACATTGTCAACTTTCTCACTAAATGGTTTGGTGGTGGATCACAGCCTATCGACTTACAAATGAATAACGAAAATTACATATATTACTTACCATATAGCACTGAGCACAATCAAAAATTAACGTAGTTTATCTTATCTGTTGATGATTAACTCCTTTCTGAGTAATTGATTATAGAGGGCAATAGGGCTAACAACGCTGCACACCAGACGTGATGGCGGATCTCATCAAAACCTATAAAATACTGCATAAAATATAAGGTAATATAAAACACTTAATACTAATAAGAAGAATATTTTACTTACATAAATATACTTAATTTAATGCTAAAAACACTGGCAAATTGTTAGATACAATATATACATTACATAAAGCCACTAATGCGCACAACGTTTCAGGCATAACTTAAAGATAATTAGGAGATTTATTTATGTTTAACGGTTTATACTTCAAACTAAATGAGAAGTTAACAATTTTATTTTATTTCTTAAAGATATTTAGAATATTATTGAAAAGTTTAAAGTGATAATTAGAAACGGCAGCTACAGCAAGAGTAGAAATACAGTAATTTACGTGCGCAATAACAACACAATACAGGTTACTAAAGGAAATGTGAGTAAACTTAGCTACGTTATGTTAATTAAGTATTTCTTAGCCTCTTATTTAAAGTGGTTGAGGGAAGAGTTGTGTTTAATCTCATAAGGTCGATCATTACACAGTTTAGGGTCTTTAATTTGCAAGATATTTCTGTTAAATCGCGCTCTTGGACTATTAAACATATATATTTGTTTTTCGCGGGGTGCTCCATGGGCTCTCTTCAGCCTGCTGGGAAGCGTCTAAGGACAGGATTATCATTGTCGTTCAGGGGCCAGATTCACGAAAGCACTTACGCAAGCACTTACGAACCAGTACATCTTTTCTCAATCTTTGACGGCTTTATTTCCAATTATTAAACAGTTAATGAGCTCCGAAGCACCAGGAGGCTGTTTTGTAACAATAACAACAGTTGAATGGGAAGTTTTCATGTTTGTAAACTATTTAATAAATGTAACCAAAGCCGTCAAAGATTGAGGAAAGATGTACACGTTCGTAAGTGCTTTCGTGAATCTGGCCCCTGGCAGAGCTATATTTACACAGAGAGTACATTTGTAAGTATGTGCAGTGACGCTATTTAATATATTCGAAGATTTAAGTAAGGGTGCTGAATGCTACCTAGGACCTGAGACTGTTATTGTTCTAATTGCCGATTTATGTTAAGTAATTATGGTAATCGCAGGTAAGCTTGGGTTATGGATTCCCAGTCAAGGATACCGTAAGTGAGATATGTAGAGATGCGTGAATAATAAAGTGTTACTAAAGCAGATATAAGTACGTAGTAACTGTTTTTTTTTTACAGAGAATGGCTACTGTTTTAGAAACTTTTTATTTTATATTTTGTATATGGCAATAGAAATTCAGCTGACTGTCAGGGTAGACACTTTGGAATTTCCCGTCCACTCTGCTCTCAATTTTTGTATTGTTAATACTATAATTAGGACTTGCTTCCAAACAATATGTCAAATGTTTTATCAGTGTTAAGGGTAAGTGTGCTAGAAACCAATCACAGATGGACTAATGTTACACACACACACGGGGAAGCAGCTTCAAGCTCAACAAGCTTCAGTATAGACCACTAAACAGATTTTTTTCTATAGGGTAATAAACCCATGGAATTGCCAATCCACCGAAACCATAAATGCCAAAACATTATTTCGCTTTCAAAATTAAGCCGGAATAATTGGGGTTTTCGACAAGCTGCCAGCTTCCAGTCCTTGTCGAGGCCACCAGAGACTGTGGCATTTAGGGAAATCCGAGTAAAGAAAGGGATTTAGAAGGGGCCATAGAAAATTAGCACCCACATAATCAGCGTTTAGATACATACATCAGGAATCATTCAGGGCATTATATAGACGTCAGACCAGGTTTTGAATATGAGGGAATAGCTTGGAAGCCGAAGCGTTTGACGAAAGAGAACACAGAGGTTACTTTACTTTTCAATGATTCCCAGGATCAACGTCTCCACGGCCCGGTCTCTGTGCAGGCTTCCAGATATTTACTACGAGGCTAGATAAATTAAGAGAGCTGAGTAATGAGCACAGATTAAGAGAGCTCATCCTAACTGCTAGAAAAATTGGGGCCAAAGGAGATATAATCTTGACTTATAAGATACTGAAAGAAATACAAGAATGGGACAGAGCATCATTCAGATAAGGGGAAAGCCGGACTAGGGGGAAAGCTGAACGAGGGGAAAGCTGGACGAGGGGAAAGCTGGTCGAAGGGGACCCAGTTGGAAACTAGAAATATAAATGAACCTGAAAAATGTAAGCAAATACTGGATTCAATGCGCGTCTCGAGCGTTCAAAACGTTACCAAACTGATGTACTAAATTGTTCAAACTTAACATAGCCGAAGATCCATGAATTTTGATATACTATTCGAGAGGACTGATGAACCGCTTAAAGCAGAAGTCATGGAAGCCACCTCGATTGATAACTTCAAGAGCAAATATGACAAAGTAATAGATCGTCGGGAAGAGTAAAATTATCAGGTACAATAGCTGGAAGGCGGAGCCACAGAGCTACATCTCATTTTCCATAAATATTAGTAAGCGCACGCGGTACGACCCACACCTGTGGCAGGTGTACCCAAATGAGCCACAGGGACGTTAAAAAGAATTTTTTCAGCGTCAGAGTAGTTAACAGTTGGAATGCATTTGGCAGTGGTGTGGTGGAGGCTGACTCCATACACAGTTTCAAATGTAGATATGATAGAGCCCAGTAGGCTCAGGAACCTGTACATCAGTTGATTGTCAGTTGAGAGGCGGGACCAAAGAGCCAGAGCTCAACCCCCACAAGCACAACTAGGTGAATACAGCAGAGAGTATGCAAGGTTGGGATACCCAAAGCGGGTTATACTGTATGCAGGTCTCGGTATACTCTTCAAGGAACCGCGGGTATGTGATTTGTTTACCTGTGCACAGGGAGCATACGTTTGGAGAGGTAGTCCTTTCTCTGCTTCGGTGTTACCATACGCGCGGATTATTGACACATCACACCAAAAGCAAACAGAGTTATGTTTTTCTCGTACATTGTATTGTTCAACGTAGAATATGCGTAAATATCCACATAAGAAAAAGACACGAAAATAATCCGGGCGCTTTCGCGATTCAACACGAAAGCCTCTCTTTGTTGGCAGCCTCTTCTGAGGCATCGTGGGGGGAAAACAGTAGCGAGGCGATCTCCATGATCAATTCAGCTTAGGCGCGGATTTCCCCAACCTGCTCAAGCTTTCATCACTAATTTCGCCCACCGAAACCATTCGTTTAAACTGGATTGAGAAACGCTTTATTCGTGTCATTTAGACAAACTGTACACACTAATTTTGTATTCCTTAATCCGTGCATTCAGCCTCGCTGTAGCGGCGACGCGAGACGAACTTCTCTGGCGGAAAGAGAATCTCGCGCTACGGTGTTCAAGTGGGTAGTTCTCTCCTTTATCTGGGTTGGTTAGTTACTAATCACAGAGTCCATCCAAACGATACTTGGACGATTAATTACACACAGAGATCACACTAACGTGATGCATCAAATGAACAATTCCACAAGGGCCGTGACGAGGATTCGAACCTGCGTCCGGGACGATTACACTCTTGTTAGGACCTCACAGTATCAGCTTGAGTATACCCAAGAGGATCTAAGCGCATGAAGAAGAATCACGACTCTTCCTAAGCCCACTTAGAATTAAAAGTAGTCTACAAAAAACTCATCTTCGGTTATGTAAAGAGCGCCAATTACTATGGACAAAATCCTCTTCAATGTCTACTGCAAACATAATCTTTCTAACCTAACCTAATTTATTCTATTCTATCCTATTGAAAATAGTTTTTTTTTTATTATTATTATTTTCTACCACAGACGTGGCCACACATTTACAATGCTAACTAGCATATATACATTTTCTTCTGTCCTCCATGGACAGGGTGAAAAATTTGTCAAACATACAGTTCAGAGATTTATTGAACAACCATAGAAGGTGATCGTAGTGCTTTCAATATGTTAGGCTAAGCTACATACGTAAATACATAGGTACATAGATTTATGAATGCATTAATGTGAATTTTTAATGGTGAAATGCAATTCTGATCAGCTTTATACTTTATACACATACATACACACACATACATACATACACACACATACATACATACACACACACACACATACATACATATA